GAGCCTATTCAGACAATGGGGAAGTGAAACAACATGGAGGATATACAGTATCAGGCTCTCCTACCAATGCTCCTCAGACTGAAGAAGCTGCTTGGATGAATAGCTAAATGTTTCAACCTAATAAGGAAGAAGTCCAGTTGCTATGACTCTACTTCCAGATACTTCTTCTCTAATAGACTAACATGGTGATCCCGCTAGAATTTTTTATGAGGTCACACTACTTAAGTTGCACAAAGGTTTCAAAAAGAAACACAATAGTGTGAAACTGCTATTCTTGACCTGATCTGCAGATTTGGCACTTTCATAATTGGATGCAATAGACTCTTTGAATGCCTAGCTCACTAAAAGACATAACTGTCCTTCATAAAGAGCTATAGATGTTACTTATGTTTCCTTTACCAGGTCACAGCATAGGTCACACATGCTGTGATTGGGATATTTACTACTTCAACTAATCTTTTTTCATCTCTCTTCCATGTAAATAGTGTGACACTATTTCTGGGCTTTCTGGGCTCACTTGTTGTTATTGTTGTTATTGTTATTGTTGTTATTATTATTATTGTTGTTTGTTTAATTTATTTATTTATTTGATTTACATACTACCCATCTGGCAGCCAGGGCCACTCTGGGCGATTTACAGCAGATAAAACAACAGAGCAACATAACAACAACAAAAACACCCTCCTACCTCCCTAATATGCATACAGTAATCATAGTCATAGTGATGGGCGGCAGCCTTGTAGACCCTCTGAACTCGTAGTTTTCAACCCATAGTGCAGAGAATTGGTGAGACACAGGCCATAACAAGCGTCACTGCAATGTTTAACTACTAATCCATTGGTTACTTTTGTTTGTCCTTTAGTGATATTGGTAACCTTAATTCCCACTAATACTGCTGTATTTTTTCAGTCATTATTTATTTATTTATTTATTTTATTTAACCTATATGCTGCCCACACTACCCAAAGGTCTCTGGGTGGCATATAAGTTAAGTAGACCAATGGCCAGTATCCAGTTTAGTATTTACATAAGCAGAACTCCAACAATTCAAGCTGTAGTGACAATCTGACAAGTTGCTGATTGTGTGTAGACAATCAGGTGTGATCAGAACCTCATGAGGCCATTACATTAGTCTCTGAAGTTGGAGCTCCAGGCAGCATAAACACTGAACCGGGATACTAGTCTTTGAGTTTTACTATTACTGCAGTGGTAAAAATTATATTCAACAGAATTCTTACAATAATATCCGTGGAATTATTATTTTGTGTTGGTCTGTGTTTACTTCTAACAATACTACTGACATTTTTATAACCTTAAAAATACTGTAAATCATAAATATTTTAATGCTTATAAGAATGCTTATAAATGTATCAATATTATTTTACTAGAAGCTGGTTTTTTAAAAAAAATCTGCAAAAAGTGTATCAAGTTCTTTGAGGGAGTGTTTGTTGCTTGAAGCAAAAAATCCAGGGGCAAGAGTATTTCCATGAGACAATTGTCCAGCCTGAACCTGAAAAATTCCATTAAAGAGGAGCTCACTTCTAGGTAAGGGGTTCCATTGCTAACTGCTCTGCTTGGAACATTCATCTATTATTCACCTGAAAACTTCTCTCTGTTACCTAGGCCTATTACCGCTAATATGCACTTTATCAGAGTACAAGAAGTTTTGTCCTCTTCTACAATGCTGGATTACTCTTGGCCTCAGGAAAGGGGATACATCAGGCAGCAGGTTGCACTTCACTGCCTATCCCTACCCCCACCCCCACC